TCCAGTCCAGTCTCCTATGTTTGAATTCATACTGCTGGGACCTGGTTGCAAACTTGCAACATCAAGGTCTACAATTCAGAAATGTGCTGTCTTATTTTATTACTTCGTCTGGTTTTCCCTGCACAGAGAGTCATAACCTTAGAGAATTCCCTTGGAGCAGGTCAAGAGCTGTCTTCACTCCTTTTTTCATCATTGTTAAAAGAGGCTTGTACATCCGTTTGAAGACCCATTTCATGATGTGAGAGGGAGAGTGCAACACTGTTGTGCCACAGTCGTGTTCTAAGTTGGGAAACCAACTAAGGCTGATGGATCCTCTCACTCTGAGACACTTTGGGGTAACTAAAACCCAGCTCAGGATTTCCATGGGGAGTGGCAGCCGGCAGCTCCTATTCCAGAAGGGCGATGAATCCACTCCGGATGTTAGCCTGAACCTGTCAAGGAGTTCTGCAGGATGCTGAACCTTATTCCCAACTTGCTGAGCCTGTTTCAAGGATAGGATTTGGCACCCAGGATAGCACCTTTAAAGTTAGATTGAAACCTGGAGCAGGTACCACCTCTCTCACACCACCACTTTCCAGTGTCCCTTGCTCGCAGCTTAATTTGGAAGCCTAGTATCTTTTGCCATTCAACCTCAAAAACCCTTTTCCTTATTGAAAAGGGAAACGAGGGTGGACCCAAAGCCCCTTCTTTCCACTGCAGCCGCCATCACTCTTCGTTGCAACGTAGGTATTGTGCTTTCCTTAGAGTTTTCTGCCATCTGCTAGCAAGATGCACCCAGCGGAAACCGTTGGTTGTTTCGTAAGGAAAACAAAACCCTGCATGACTCCCCTGCTAAGCACATGTAGCGTCTTAAGTACCTGAAGTGTCTTGTGGGGTGGGGGGTTTAAGTGATTTGGTTTTTAATTCATTTGCAGCTATCCTTGTTTTTCTGTTAATAGGCCAAATAAATGTAACCGACACCAAATGTTGCATAGAAGTGGAAAAACAATTACTGTGTTGTGAAATGAGAAAAGGATACCAACTTTTGGGGGCGGGAATCTTTTCCTAACTATGGATTCTTAAACTTGCAGACATAGGAGCCCTACATGGTGATTTATAGAAGGAAACACTAAGCTACAGGAAGAGAGTCCATTGACAGGGAGAGATGGACTCCCAGAGTTCTGCGTTTCCATGTTGCATCCAGAATGAAAGTGTTATTGGAGGTGCACCTTATACTAGAATATTTGTTGTACCACTCTTGTTACGTGTGTTTCTTTTTCTTTCAATGTAAGGTCTCAGCAACTGGTAAATAAATGGTAGGAGCACAGAATCCCAGGCTGCACCACATCCTCCTGGCTCAGGAGCCTAGAGGCACATCTTGAGCTTTTTGTCTGAGTAAAGCACATTTGCTAAACAGGACACATGTGTTAACCATCTCATGAAAGGTACAAGAAATTGTTTAGGTAGGATTTGCAATCCTGATGTAAGGATGACTCGAGGAATAATCCGTAACTACAAATGAGTACCTGGTGCGTCTTGCTTGAGGGCTTTACTTGCTGAATGTATCTGGGGACTGGGTAATTCAGAGCGTGCTTTTGGTTCAACACAAAATGTCATGATGGGGTTGATTCATTTTCTGGTTAACTTTCTGTAAGAAAATTTCATATGATAACTGGCCCAGATAATATTGTTCCCTGGGGGAAAGGAAATCAAGATCCCAGTGCAAATTTCTTCATGTTTCAGGACGACAGATAATTCTTTGCATTGATTAAATCTCAAGATGATTTCAAAATGTCTAGCTTTTTCAGAAAATGGGAAGCCTCGTTGAAATACCATACCCCTGTTTAGTTTGAATTAAATGTTAATTTTGAAATGTGGCTTTTAATTCAGTACAAATCTTAATATTTTACAGGGTCGTATGATTAGATCGGTATAACTGTTCCAAATTGAATGTTTTCTTTTACTTTCTACTGCAACATGAACCTGAAACCTTCTTGGTAGCCAGATGGTCAGCTGAAATATTAAAAATGCCTCATCTACTGAAAAGCTGCATATATAGGCATCTCATAATGAAAAGTATAAGTAAATATATATGTATATATATATTTAGTTCCATTGTGGACTGGCCATGACAACTTCTTTTTTATCAACTTATTAAGTTGGGGCACTATACTAGCTCTTGCTGAGTTTAGCAATGTTTATAAGCGTGTGTTAAACACATAATGTTTCAAGTTTAATGAAGAAAAAGGGATAACAAAAAAGAAATGTGACAGATGAATGTGTCTGAGTGGATTAGATGGCATAATGTTCTGGGATTTGATTTCAACACAGCTTTCTTTTCTCGTTTTTAAGTAAAGACTTGCTGCATGACAAAACAGTTTTAACTGTTCTGCACTTTTGGTCTGTTTGTATAATTCTTTTTTCCATTTATGGATAGAAATGGCTGAATGTAGAGATAAAAACAAAAACCACTATTTCACATTTTTCATGTGTTCAATCCATTGTTCTACAGTTCAATCTTAATAAATATTTCAGTACAAACTGGTGGATTGGAGTCTTACGTTTGTGGACATGAGAAAAAGTCTGTGCAGTGCTTCTTGCACAAGATGCTCATAATGTTAGCACATACAAATGTGTGTTTTATCCAGTGTCAAGTTGTTGGTCTGTCTGTTCCAACCTTTTCCAACTTGGAGAACACCAGGTTGACATGGGTCAATTGAACTAATGTCCCCTCCCCAGCCCTCACCACAACCTGTCTACACAACACAGGGCCAAATCCTTGATTCAAGTGCAGACTGTCTTTGCAAGGGAAGGCCAGTTCCACACCAAATGTGCCCTCTCCCTGCCTAAATAAGTTTTTTTTTAAGCTCACCCTTTTCTCTAGGTTTTCCAGGAAAATCCAGAGCACTCTGTAGCAATACCAGGCAGGTGTATCCACGTGTTTCTGTTGTGCCACTTGATGCCACTGGCATGAGTTGCTCCCTCTTGAGGTTAAAACTAGGTGCCCAGCCAGGTGATCATCAGCATTTTGTTTATGGCCTTACGATCGGTGCTGGGTACCTTGTTTCTGAGCTCAGCGGGACCAACTCACACCAATGGTGATGCTGTGTGTGAGGATAGCTGCCCAATGTCTCTATGAATCCTAGAATCCTAGAGTTGGAAGAGACTACAAAGGCCATCCAGCCCAACCCCAATCTGCCATACAGGAACTCAAAATCAAAGCATCCCCAACAGATGGCCATCCAGCCTCTGTTTAAAGATCTCCAAAGTAGGATGAAGTGTGGATATAATGGGGAATCCGGTGCAGCTCCCGGGGAAAGGATACTCCAGGAGCAGCCTAGAGTAGTCTGGACGGTGTGTAGACAAGGCCCAGGTTAGGGAAGACTTATTCTACTCCGACAGGTTGTGGCTGTCCACATTCTGTCCACCTTCCCTGCCTTATAGCATTTTATCCCCACAGCTCCCTAGGTTTTGTGATGGTTTCTTCTCCATCTGTTTTCAAAATACACTTCCCGAAGAATATAGTAAACACGTTTTGCACCATTCTTCCCCCACATACACATTAAGACTGCCCTTGGAAATTAAAAGGAAGAAGAGAAGGAGCCCAAATTCATCTGGATGGGAAGAAGGCATTCTTCAAGATGTTACACCAAAAACCAGAGCAAGCGGAGAGAGTTTTCACCACCAAAACATTTGTTTCAAAAGTCTCCAATATTCAGACAAACCATTTATCCATGGCTGCTTAGAACACATTCTAGAAGTATTTGCATTAAAATGCTCCTTGCTGAAGATGGCAGGCTTTTGCCTTCCCATGACAATTAAGACAATTCATTCCCCTGTTGAGAGCGGCTGCTCAATGACTCCCGAGATGAATTCTGGTACTTTTTCCCCAGTTAACTAACCCCTACTTTAGAAATTAGAGCATTTTATAGTGCAAGGCAAGCAAAATGCCTCATCTGGGACAGATCTTGGGTTGCAGTTGCACAATACAATCCTTGTGTTGAATGGCAACGTTGTGCAAAGGAATTAGCACCCCAGTCCAAACCCCAGTTTGCTTCCGCATGTTCAACCCTGCTTCCACAATCCTGAACTGAATACAGCTGATCCACATGGAATAAAAATGTTCAGCCGCTTCTTTGCGTGTGCAAAACACCAACTGGATTCCAGCTTATCTTTAGCAAGAGTCCCGGCAACTCTTCGCAAAAGAATAAATCCAGTCAGGCAGTATTGATGGACCATAATGGTAAACAGGATTATTGTTGCCTTTTTGATTTATTTGGGGAGAAAAGGTTAGTTTTAACACTCCGTATTTAAAATGACTACCTATTTGGTCCTCCTTGAACAGCATTCTGGACTGTGATATGGCAAGCTTGCTAAGCTCTTACTTCATCTCTCTGTTGGAAAACATTTCCTCAACTCTTGATTCTCAAAACTGAATTTGGTTCTGTGACTCCAAGCTTTCGATCCACTCAGACTTTCTATCAGATGCCTTTTGAATAAAAGGGGGGGGGGAGCATGGTATAATCTATTATATAGCACTAAGAACAACAGAAGTGATGGAGGTAGCAAAAGGCTGGCAGGGAGAGAGAAACGTTCCTTTTCTTAAGGCCTGCCATGCAGCATTTCCTCTGCCAAAAAGCCACAGGTTGTGTGTTCCTGAAGTGCTTAGGTGTGCAAAAGGCTGCAAGGTGGATTTTGCACTATAGTAAGGAAAATACTCCCCTGAGAACTGAGATAGCTCAATGGTTGAGAGAGACTTAGTGAGAGATCAGACGGTGCGTGGTTCAAATTTCACCTCTGCTGTACACCTTCCATGGGTAATCTGATGAATTCTTCAAAATTTAATTATCTATATGCTCCTGTCTTGATTAAAAATATTTTAAGGTCAGCTTGCACGTCATGGTGCTGTGTGCCTTTAAGGTTTTTTAGGCTCAAAAGACACATTAAGGTGAACCTATCATTGGGTTTGCCAGTGTCTTCCTCTGAGAGAGTGTGACTTGCCCGCAGTCACTCAGTGTCCATGACTGAGCAGGGATTCAAACCCGAGTCTCTTAGAGCCCTAGTCAAGCACTCAAGCCACTAAACCATGCTGGCTGTCAACCTTTAAAGGGACACAGGGGAATGCCGCAGTCCATTTCTGCCCAAAGGCAGCTTTTTGGGGAGCAGTGGTGCCGCACACCCCTTAGGATGTCACCAGGTGCAGTCTGCTGCCCTCGTGATGCCAGCAACCCACAGATTCAACTAGCCATGGCTTGAAAATATTCAAAACAAATATATACACTCCAAAAAGCAAAGCTCGGTGTTGCTATTTTATATAAGGGACATGACTACACCATTGTATTTAATGGGCCTTGAGCAGATTTTTGGGTCCTGGAACCAAGCCACAATGGATACCAAGGACCCACTGTACTTGCATCAAGGAATAACACAATATGGGAGCATGGGTTTCTTTCTGTTCTTCCCATACACACACACAACTTTTCCTCCTGACTTCTTGTCAATTTAAGTGCAGGGCAGGCTACAATCAACACCTCTGTTACTCAGATTTCTTTTTCCACTATGAGCACAAAGGTAGGAAAGTGTGTCTCTTTCTGCCGCCTGGCAATGGCTGAGCCTGTTTCCGAGAATTTATATATATTTTGTCTAGCAATGACAAACGCTGTTGCTCTTGTTGGTACTTCAAGCATTGACCAGGTTTGGCAGATGACCTCTTCGCTTTGGAGGGAGAGAGATTCCAAAAACAGCCCTGTAGGACAAGAGAGACAAGAGAGACTGTTTTCAGGCAAGGGGGTGTGCCACTCAAAATAAAATAAAATAAAATAAAATAAAATAGATGTCTAGGCAAGAGACAGAGGTTGCTAAATGGAAGAGCGGACGCTCTGACTTTTGTAGGGCTTAAGTAAATTTCATTACTCCAGTTGGTACCGGAGGAGAAGGAAGAAGAAAAGAGCAAGCATTTTGCTTTTGTTGTGTGCCTTCAAGTCATTTCCCACTTGCAGCAACCCTAAAGCGAACATATCATGGGCTTGTCTTCCCAAGGTTTGTTCAGAGGAGATTCGTCTTTGCCTTCCTATGAGGCTGAGAGAGTGTGACTTGCCCAAGGTCACCCAGTGGGCTTCAAAGAGGTTAAGGAAGAATCAATTCAAATTTTAGCAATGCACTTCAGGTAGGACTTCATTTGTAAGCATGGATGCTGGAAGAAAATAAGAGCAAATGCAAAAAATGGCAAGGTACCATTTGTGGCCTCTTGGCGTTTTATGAGTGCTTGAGTTTTTGTGTGCCTTCAAGTCATTTCTGACTTATGGCAACCCTAAGGCAAACCTATCATGAGGTTTTATTGGCAAGATTTGATCAGAGGAGGTTTTCCATTGCCTTCCCCTGAGGCTGAGAGTATGTGACTTGCCCAAGGTCACTAGTGGGTTTCCATGGCCAAGCAGAGATTTGAACCCTGGTCTCCAAATCCCAGTGCTCAAACCACTGCACCACACTGACTCTAGCAAACATTTATTACCCATGTTTTCCAACATTTCCTGTCCTCCAGATATTTGGACTTCAGCTCCCATCAGTCCCAGTCAGGACAGCAAATGGCCAGGATTTCTGAGAGCTGTGGTCCAAAATATCCGGAGGGTTTCTCTCTGCTCGAAATGCTGCTTCTCAAAACAGTTGTGCTTGATCGCAACAAGGCACCGTCTCCAGGCTAGCTCTTTGCCGAGGAACCTACAAAGGCATGGCAGGTAAGAGTTGCCACTTTGGGATCATCGCAGGCCCTGAGGACATTGGCACAGCCCCTGGCGACATTATTAAGTTGTATGAATTATGGACTTATTTAAACACACACATATACAGAGAGAGAACTTATTCTTCCTGCTTGGAAATGCAAACCGAACTAAAGGGGCTGCTCTCAGCTCAAGGTGAAATCGGGGGGTTATTCCTGCTCCCCTCACTTGCTCTTGTGTGCCTTCAAGGAATTTCTGACTTATGGTGACCCTCAAGCAGAATGCTTTCTTCGCAGGTTGCTGCAGAAGGGGTTTGCCATTGCCATCCTCTGAAGCCGAGCGACTGCGACTTGTCCGAGGTCACCCAGTAGGTTTCCATGGCCGAGTGGGGATTCGAACCCTGGTCTCCAGAGTTGTAGTCCAGCACTCAAACCACTACGCCAGGCTGGTTAATTTGATAGTTTCCTACCCTCTGGCTTACAATCTAAATCAGATACCCAAGGAGAAGGAGATGGCAGTGGAAGAGGGGCTTCAGTCCAGCAAATGCCACCTCTTCTTCTCTCCCTCCGAGGCCAAGGCGCTGGCACTTGGGATGGAGGAAGGCCCTTGCCAGGTGGCTTTACGGGTTTGACACTAAGTCAGTGGGCAAGCTTTGGGTCCTGCGAAGGAAGGGAAAGAGGGAATTGCAATCCCCGCAGCACCCCAAAAAAGACATCTTTATGTATAAGGGAAAGTTATGCATGCATACACCCCTAACATAATTCTGGTCTCAATATAATTCCTCATGGGCCTCACATTCTAAGAGCCATGATTTTTTATAGCTAGGACCTCTTTGTTCATCTACAGCGCAAGATACCAATTCATTGACGGAATACAGTCGCCAAAACCATAAATATTCAAGCCCCATAGGCTTGAATGGGGGGGTGCCCACGGGCACCCACAGACGTGTGTCACGGGCATGCACACCATTTTATCCCCCTCCGTTTGCCGCCCGCAAACCGTTGACTCTATAACGTATAAAGAAAAATGTTTTTTTAAAAAAAATAAAGTTTTATTAAATTAAAAACATATGTACTTCAGCCAACAATAAAGTCTGCAAAAACAGAGGGGCAACTCATAGAATCATAGAGTTGAAAGAGACCACAAGGGCCATCCAGTCCAACCCCCTGCCATGCAGGAACTCCCAATCAAAGCATCCCTGACAGATGGCCATCCAGCCTCTGCTTAAAGACCTCCAGGGAAGGAGACTCCACTACTCTCCGGGGGAGTACTTCTGTTTTATAAAATAAAGAAATGATGCATATAAGAGGCCTTAATCCAACTTCTTATGCGCAGCAAATTTGAAGAAATGTAGCCTAGACCCTACATTTCTAAAATCTGCATGGTTGGAAACTCATCAAAGAAAAGATGCCAGAGTATTATCCATTGCAGGATATTGATGCCATTAGAGCTTCAGAGTTCTCTTCTGCTTTCCCCTTTCTAAAAGGATGTTTTGGAGAGGAAAAAATATATATTTATCAGCAATAACTCAACCTCTTCTTCATAAGGCTTTTATAGCCCTACGATTCCAGACAAAGAAAACCAGTTATCTTGGAGGGGAATATAGAAAGATCCCCAAGGAGCAGCGTCTTTGCATTTGTAGAAGTGGGGATGTTGAAGACACCAGGCACTATATGCTGCATTGTAGGATATAGAAAGCCCCGAGAGAGAAGTTTAGCTAACCAAAATGATCTGAAGAAAATCACTTGTTAGCTAAGACAGCAAAGTCTGTTATGGGCTGTTGTTTTTTTAATTTTTATTAGTTTTACAAATTAAAATACACCAATAACCAACCATCAAGACTAATATATATTAACATATAGACATATACAATAAACAACATCAACCCCCCAACTTAAGACTCCCCCCAACATGAATCACTCAAACAGCTGACTCACATTTAAAATCACATTCAAAACATCATGTTTCTATTAGAAATTAAATTGACTTTTCCTTCCCAATTGAAAGTACTCCTTAGTTTTCTCATGATTCTTACGTCTCCATAACTTCTTAAACTTCTTCTGATGACTACTATATCTCCTTCTTGTTTGTGTTTCTGTTATTCCTTATTTTCTTTTTCTGCTATTTAGATTAGTCACTTTCCTGTCTTTGCATTTTAGAAGAAATAAAAAATAGCCGAAATAATATCATGTAAATCTTATTACTGCTTAACTTAAAATCTCTTATTTCCTTTTCCCTTGCTAGGAACACAGCCATATTGTAAATTCTCCTTATTTCAGCCATAATTTTATTTTATTTTTTATCTCAAGCCATTCTTCTTCTACATACCCCACTGGTTTATTTTGTATTGAAGCTGCTAATATCTCCATAGTCATAGTTTCCCTTAATTTTATTGAGCTAAGTCTGTTATGTTTAACCCGGCCAGATTCACTGTGAAAGCAGCGAAACTTAGATTAGATTTTGAGGATAAAGGCCTGTATGGGAATCTGCAATAAATAGATTACAGTCACTCCTCCTTTTTCGTTCCGGCCACCACCACCAGCGAAAAAAGGGAAAAATGCAAATATTCAAGCCCTATGTGTCCGCGGGGGTGAGCGGGCATGCGTCACGGATGAGCCCGCCATTTTGTGCCTTTCCGTTCGTCCCTCGCGGATAAGCAAAGGTTGCGGACTTCAAGTCCGCAAAAACGGAGAGACAACTGTATACTAATTTGAACAGCTTACATAACATTTAGTATGAAACTTTTTTTGTAGAAGGGACATGTTTGGTGGAGTTGCAAAAAAACAAAAAGTTTTTGGAAGTGTGTACACATAGTTAGAGAAATTTTGCAACGCCAACAAAAAATGGATCCTAAACTGTATCTGCTAAGTATATGTGAAAACGAAGAAATTGAACATAAGCATGGGAAATTAATAATAATAATAATAATTATTATTATTATTTATTTATTATTCCTTTTTTATGTTACCACTAGCGCAAGGATAGTATATGCCAGTAAATGGAAAACTGGAAACATTCCTTCAACGGAAGAATGGCTCCATAAACGGATAGATTTGATACAATTAGACAAACTTACCGATTTGATAAGAGTTCATGACTGGGAAGAAACTGGGAAGATTTGGAAACCATTATTTGATTATGTATGTAAAAATGAAGGCTAAAAGTAATGAGAGACATTGATAGTTTAGTAAATAATAATATAAGGTATGGGAAGGGAAATGGGGAAAGGAAGACAGTACAGAACTAAAAGTAATTTAAGTTTAAAGTGATTTAATTTAAGGTTAATGTTAACAACAGTATATGCCTATGGAAAATGAAATAGGCATAAAATATACCCAACCTTGAGAAAAATAAAGAAAGGTTCAGGTGAATTTAAAGATGATGGCTTGGAAAGGGTTCAGGAAGTCTTAGGAGAGAATGATGTATGTTAGTGTCAACGTTGTGATGTATTGATATATCCTGTTGGGAATTGTAGTTACTTGTAGGGATGTGTGAATATGTATTGTATTTGTTATATTTGTATCTGTTTTATGTGTTTGTTTGATGGTCAGTTGTTAGTCAGTCTGTCCGCTCCTTAGTTTGATGTTAACGTTTATTCTTGGTTGAAGTACATATGTTTTTAATTTAATAAAACTTTATTTAAAAAAAAAACATTTTTTATGTTATAGAGCCAACGGTGACTATACAAGTTTTTAAAGGTTGTAATCATTTTTGTAATTTGATGGCTAGGACCTGTATGTGGTTGCCATGAATAAACTGTGCGCACAAACCCTAAAACGTTGTGCAGTTCTGATGTAGGATCTTGGCGTCTGTCCTCTTGACGTTGTTGCATGAACTTGGAAGAAAGTGTAGTTCCCTCGCAGGGTTCTGTCCGCACAGGCACAAACTCCACTTCTAAAGCAATTGCACCCCCTGCTGCTAACAAAAAGGTCATTTTGAATTTCAAATCTTAATTTAAAGCTCGTGTCTATATTTTGGCAATAGCCTGGACAACGTGTTTTATAAAAGGTGCCTCATTTGTTGCTGGACCTTTCAACCTTACAGAATTAGAAAGCCTGGATTACACAGTTATAGCGTTATTTATTCTACTTTAACGGCCGTGTCAATCCCAGAGAATTTGTATTTTGGTGGTGCACTAGAACTCTCTGGCTGAGAATTATCCCAAAACTGCAGATCCCAGAAATTCATGGGATGTTGTCGGGGCAAAGTGGAATCAGAGCCCTGTGATGATATGTGAAAAGGTCCAGGGGACAAATGAAACACCCTATTAGTTAGTTCCCCAGCACCACACACCTTTCTAAGCCAAAGGTACATGAAACTACCTTTCGCAGGGAAGGCCACCCAGATACTTCCACCTGTCATTTTTGCAAATGTAGAGAAACATTCAGATCAAGCACAAACTCTCCCTGGAAGCCAAGAGGATCAAATTGAGGCTGATATAACTTTGGCCACAGAGGGAAGGATTCACTGGAAAAGACAACAATGCTAAAGAAAAAAGTCGGAGGCAACAGAGAGAGAGGAAGATCACAAGCCAAATGGATAGACAAAATTGAGGAGGCCACGGACCCCAATCTACAAGACCTAAGCAGAGCAGTGGAGGATATGGGGGGCTTGGAGATGTCTATCCATGGTCAACTCAAGGACAGCAAACAACAAATTCCATCTAACTTTCTTTCTTAATGTCGTTTGTGGTTTGAAAACCCTGCAAAGCTGCCTCTTACCTTATGCCAGAAAGGTAGTCCCAGCACTCATACTGCTCTCCCACTCATAGAATCATAGAGTTGGAAGAGACCCCAAGGGCCATCCAGTCCAACCCCATTCTGCCATGCAGGAACTCACAACCAAAGCAACCCTGAGAGATGGCCATCCAGCCTCTGTTTAAAGGAGACACCACCACTCTCCAAGGGAGCATCTTCCAATGTCAAACAGCTCTCATTGTCAGGAAGTTTCTCCTAATGTTGAGGTGGAATCTCTTTTCCTGTGGTTTGAATCCATTGCTCCGTGTCCTGTTCTCCAGAGCAGCAGAAAAAGTTTGCTCCATCCTCAATAGGACACCCCTTCAAATACTTATATATGGCTACTTCTCAACATCCTTTTTGAATTGTGCTTCCCAGAACTGCACAGTATTTCACAAAGCAGAATAGAGTGGCAAAGTTACTTCCCTTGATCTAGACACTATAGTTCTATTAATGCAACCTAGAATTGCATTGGCCTTTTTAGCTGCCGCATCACTATGTTGACTCATACAAAAATCCATCAGTGATACTTTATTGGCCAACCAAAATGCACAATATACTTCTTGCAACAAGTAAATTGTGCATTTTGGTTGGCCAATAAAGGTATCACTGATGAATTTTTGTTTGAATTTGCAATATGGACAACACAGCTTCTCCTGAATGTAGTGTTGACTCATGTTCAACTTGTGGTCCACTAGGACTCCTAGCAT